CTGCATTTACTTTACATGTTGATCAATCATAAATATTCAATCAATCAAAACAAATAAACTGTTGGACTAACTTTGAGTTTGTTTGATTACATGATCTTGGTTTTTTCTTCTCTATTTGTTGATTTTTTCTTCGCTATTTTATTGATTTCCTTTTTCTCTGTTTGTTGATTTTTTTTTCATTTATCTTCATTTATTTTTCTTCAACATTATTATCATAAAACAACGTTCAATAAACATCTGAGATTCTAAATGATGTATTTGGATCTTAATAAACAGCATAGACTAGGGCAGCCGGTGTTATTTTTGGAATTAAATAACTAAGACTGGATAGAAAATCCGGCTAATTAAGACATTGAAATTCATCTATTATAACAAAATCACGAGCTTCAAACGTTGAATTTTACCCGTCATCAGCAAGTTTTGAGATGCGAATCCAACACGAACTGGAGCGAGTCCAAGTCTGGGATCAACCCGACAGACTCTACTTCTCCATCATATAAATATTATTTGACAAATCAATTATTTCTACATTGTGATTATTATGATTATGGAATATACGTTATTTTCTCGTTTTATTAGAAAAGTATATGAGAAAAGCAATGTTTATAATCGAGGAAAATATAAATGAAAATTTTCTGGACGAACAAAAGCCTTATCTGTAAGAAGAGTTTTCAACTTTGCAAAATTGAAATATGTTGGATTATTGGTAAAATTGTTTGTTATCATAACTAATGAATCATATTGGATTGTGAGATGTAACAAACAAGGTAAATGAATCTTTCTTTCAAAGAGAAATTGTTCAATATAATCAATGTGTGCCAATTCAAGATTGAGAACATTAAGATGAGGAAATGTAATGAATTTAAATGAATATTTTTTATATTTTTGTGGTTCATTATTTTGTATCGATAATGTTTGAAGAAAAGGAAAAGATTGTGAGATAATTTGGAAAAATTCATATTCAAAAGGACGTATATCATCAATAATTATCACCGATCGAACTTTATCAAATATGGCACCTTTAAAAGAATTAGTCACATTATGAAACATATCAAATTGATATGGAAGTGAATAAATATGACATCGAGCTCTAATTTTCATTGTATTATCATCCGCATATGAACCAATTTGTTGATATCTTCTTTCAATAAAACTACGTTGAATATCATCATTTGAAGGAAGGATAATATTGCTGTTTCTATTACAAACAAGAGTAGTTATACTAAAAGTAAATTTATTTAATCGTGGCATATGAATGAGAATTTCATCATTTAAATGAATTCCATCAATATAAGTCGATTTGATTCTTTTCACGAAAAGAAATAATGTTAATTCTTCGAGATTTGTCATTCGACGAAATAATGGAACAAGTTCATGATAATAAGATGTTCTTGAAGTCGAAGTTAATGAAAAATATTTCAATTTTGAAATTTTTTTCTATAAAGAAAAGCATCATTTTTAGTTTAATATAATCAAATGTATCTTTACTGTAGTATCTATATTCCATAATTGAGGTCCAATTGTTTCTATATCAATAATTGATGTCGATAAACAATCGAATCGTCCATCAAGAATATAAAGACAGTCGTCGAGAGTATTAACCTCAATTTTTAATTTAGTCAAAGTTGACGATACACAATTTGTTGAAAATAGATTAAAAATTGAATTTATTAAAGGATCTCGAATGGATTGTAGAAAAGTGAAATCGGTTAAACATTTGGCAAATGATAATATCATTGCAAACAAAGTCGGTTCATATCTATCAAATGATTCAATTGTTCTGGAATTGATCTTTAGATTAAAATGAGTAATTTGTTTAGTAAGAAGACGAATAAGTATTGTATCACCTTAAACATAAAAGAAATTGTTTCATGAAACTAAACAAAATTCTAAATCATATACCTATTAAATATTTAAAAATTGTTTCCGGTTGAGAAAAAACAAGTGATAATGAATAAAGTTGAGGATAATCAACAATATATAGAAGACGTTCTATTAAAAATTGTTCAAGAGTAAGTTTTTTTATTTGATGATGAATTCGAGGTAAGATACTTGTAGAAAATCGATCGAAAAATTGATGACATTCTTCAGATATATCATTAACTGTAAAATCAAGATCACGAATGTAAATAGAATCAAGTGCTAATCTATCAAATCGTTGATTTACATTCACAAGTGAATAGAGTATATCAATATTATTCAGTTTGTTTAAAATACAAAGTAAAATTTCATCAGGCAAGTCGAGTATATTCATATTTAACTGTAATGATTTTCTCTTTTGCTCAATTTTTGTCTCCCTATATATATATATATAAAATAGAGACAGAGATTTCTCAATTTTTCTCCTTGTATAGGGGTCAATCGATCACACTGACTTAATTCAAAATGAATTAAGAAACATGATTGGCGTATCTACATAGCAACGCCAATCATGTTTCTTAATTCAGTTTGAATTAAGTCAGTGTATGTCTGACCCGTTAGACTATTTTCTTTTCTGCCTAAATTTTTTTTTTTTTTTTTTTTTTTTTTTTGCTATTGATTATTGTTGAATGTTTGCATATCACTATATTTCGTGATGCTTGATAGTGATATACATCACAAGATAAAACATTCTGTTTCCAATAAGCTGGAAGTCAATATCAATGAAAGATTACTATCGTTTTATATGACTTTAATTGGAATGAAACGTATAAATATATGAAAAGACTATTTCACATGAAAAGCTTTTTTCCTCGGTTACTCTAGAAGTTCTGATTTAAGTTGAAGTAGTCTGTTATAATAAAAATCTTCTCAGTGTTTTTGTTTGTGGATACTAGAAGCAATAGAATACAATTTTTATCATGTTATTATCATTCCATGTCATTAATCTGTAGTGGTGGAGCCAGAAAAATTTTCCAGAGAGGGCTGTGGGAAGCTCAGCCTCATTTCAAAATTGAAAAGAAGCATACCCTTTCATTTAACGATAGATTACCTCGATTCTGGAAGGAGCTGAGCCTCTCCCGCCATTACTCATCTG